CCATGCTGGTGAGGCTACTGGTGCGGATACCGTGCAGTGTCCTGAGTTGAGTCAAGAAGTCCGGTTGGCGCTGGTGGTTCTGGAAGAGCTCTTGGTGGGGACCACTGCCAGTCCCCTATATAAGGCCCTGATGGATAAGAAGCTTGGGACGGCAGTACTGCCAGAAAGTTTGGAGCTTGAATTTAAGCACGCCTTCTTCACAGCAGGTCTCAAGGGTCAGTCATGCGCACGAGGGGGGAGGGATGGGAGAGAGGGATGATAAAGCACGTGGATTTGGGGGCAGGGAACGGGTAGCGCACAGAGTGCAGAAAAGCAGCGACGGAGCGGATGGAGAAGGGTGGCTTCGAGTAGAGGGAAAGGGCAAGGCAGTAGGAGAGAAAGGGGCAGGGACTGGCCAGATTGTAACCCAGAGGGACATGCATGTGTTCCTTTTTTCTTTCTCACTCTGTGCATCATAGCGGCCACTTCCTGCTTGTTATTTTGGCTACTGCTGTTTGGGTGTTTTTTCAGGTGTGCATCAAGAAGAAGGCATGGTGCAGCGGATCGAGGCCGTCATCTTGGAGTGCTTGTCTGACTTGTCTGTCTCTGGGTTCTCCCCCGCGGCTATCGACGCAGCCTTGAACACAGTGGAGTTTCGACGCCGAGAATTTCCCAGAGGTCCGACGCTGCCCAGGGGTCTTATGTTTACAAGACTGATGGCAGCGGACATGAACTACCACAGGGTAAACTACAAGCCCAGCAGCTGTATACCCTTACGCCCGAGGAACTTCAGCCATCATGCCGCGGCAGCGAATAGCCTCAAGTGCTGAGCACTTAACTGTAATATATTTGGTGACAATTGCCAGCAATTGAATCAGAAAGAGTACTTTACAAGGAGTAGAAGCTACGACCCCTATACCCTAACTCCGGAAAATCCAACCCCGTTAACCCTGCAGACAGTCGTTCCCGGTGGTGTCTGGCGATGTTTGATGGGACTCCTACACATATGGTATACCGCATGCAGAACTGTTCATTTGCTCGACGCTTCGTCGTACTTGGTGTTTGGTTGGAAGGCCCTTATTGCAGGGGTCTGCTTCCCGTTGGGCTGGTCGGCGGCAGTCCGTATATGTGGGCTTGCTTTTAGCCAACTGTCTACTGCGCAGACACCTAGAAGGAGGTTCGTGTCTTCACTGTTCTCTGCCGCATCACTGTCGCGTTCTGTGCTTCTTCGGCGTGCTGGTTGTCTTCTCAGGATCCTTTGCTTTCCATACAATTTGAGAAGGCTTTGGGGCACATTAAGAAGGCCCTCAACAAAGGCGAACGCGTCTTTGAGAAGCTCATTACACAGTCAGACCTGCGCTTCTGCTTTTGCATCTGTACCAGCTCTTTCTGATTTTTGCTGCTGGCTGTGTCGCTGCTGTTTCAGCGGATCCCTCTGCTGCTGAACGCTTCACAAGTGCAGATGCTTCTGGTGGTATTGATGCCTTTTTGTACGTAGATACTTCTTAAATAATCCTCACCGCGTAACATTTAGGTTGAAGGCGAGTACCACGAAGGCTGCGGAAAGAGAAGCAGCTGAAAGGGATGCCCTACAGGCGGCGCGCGCCACAATGGGATCCGAGGAGTTGATGGCGATCGCACAGACGCAAAAGGCACTTCAGGAGAAACAGGTATTACCAGAGACATTTGACAATCGACATGCATGGCTCAAAAAACTAGAAACTAGAGCGGCATGGGGCCCAGAGGCTCTAGTCTTTGAAGGGCTTGTGCTTTGGGTTTTCGTGTATTGCTGTTGCATATGGCCTAACTCTTTGCATGCACAGTCTGTCTGCAGACTACACCACAGAGCCCCGAGAACGTGGCCACTTTACCTTTGCTGCAGCGAAGCGACATTGATGCGGTACGCGTACTAGGCTATTAGTTTTTTCGGCTGAAGGACGTCTCATGAGGTAGCTGTATTTCTGTCTGGTATTTATAGCTCGATCAATACTGCATGCTAAGATAACATGTTTTGCTCAAGCGTGTTTATATCCGTGCCTTGGATGCTATGCCGCTCTGCTTCTGCTTTGTCTACTATACGGACTGTTCCTGCAGGAGGCCGAGAAGATTCCTATCCATGTAGATTCTGTCGGTTCTGTGCCACTGGTAACGCACGACCTACCAACTTCGGGTCTCGTGTACATCGATGTGGCTCTATCACTTGATGCTTTGACCTTGGAGGAGATCCAGTATCTTCCCTTACTTGGCAGCATGCTGACCGAGGCGGGTACAGAACAGCTTCCCCCCGAGGACCTGCTGCCCCTCATAGGGCAACACACTGGTGGCATCTCAGCCTCATTTGCTGCCACTCCCGTACCATCCGTCCCCTACACCGTCCCGGAACCTGTACAAGCAAAGGGATTTTTATTCCTGAGCGGAAAGGTCTGGCAGAGTTTCAGCCTCAGCGGCTCTAGTTGCCACCCTCTGAGGCAACATATAGTGCTGCTACATCCACCCTCTGCAGTTACAAGCAGGGCATACGTGTGGTGCTTATCTTCACAGACCTGGTTGGGTAGCTTATTATGGTGGCGCCGCAGCTTAGGTGTGGAGGGTTCAGGCTCCAACGTGTGGGGTATGGGGTTGATGTTTGGGTTCAATGAAATTTTGGTATTGTTGGGTGTGCCGTGTATGCGCAGGCGATGGAAAGGAAGTCGGTGGCTCTGTGGTGCCTCCTGCATACGGTATTGACTGAGACAAACCTTTCAAACTCTTCTAGTGGACAGAAAATCATCAAGCGACTGATAACGGAGAGAGACGATATGCTGAGGAATAGACCGTTTCGCGCCGCTAGGATTTCGGCCGAAAGCAGGTTTGAAGCCGCCTCGCTGCTTGCTGAGTTCACTGGTGGAATCACCAGTCGCACATTTTACAAAGATCTCTTACAGCAGGTTAGTTCGATTAGGGGTGCGACATGCGATGTTACATGTAGAGCTTGGGCCTTGTTCACTGCCGGATGGGACTGTCTTTGGTGGAGCTAGCGTCTTGATTTTCTGTTTGGTGCATTGGGAGTTTGGCCGTAAAAGGTTTCGTTTTTTTGATAGTGTCGAAAGGTGTTTAGTTTACGGCTTGTTACACAGGCGGAATCGAACTGGGGCGAGGTATCCTCTAAGCTAAAAGCGATCATGGAACGTTTGCTGCTTCGTACAAATGTCATCGTGAATATCACGGGAGACCGTAAAGCTCTCACTGCTGCTACGAGTGGCCCAGGGGGAGAGGCAATGAAGGCTCTGTTAGATGCCCTGCCAGAAGGTTCAGGGTCTTTCCGCTTACTACGTCGGGAGGCTCCCCAAGATTGCAATGCCACGTCGCGCTGGGCTCAGGATGCTCTGGAGAAGGGGCATTTCTCTGGAGCGAAGCAGGTGGCAGTAGTAGTACCCGCTGCAGTACGTATGCTCAATGCATTTGGTGCAGGAAGGAAGGGAACTAAGAGGGATTGCTTGTCACTACTTTCGTGTATCGCTTCCTGGTAAAATCTCTCAGGCTCTCT